TGGAATGCTCCCATTTGTGGTGTCTTGCTTTGTCTTACTATAACGGGTTTTTTGTTTTTTTTTTTAGTCTGTTTATCAGATATAAGTATTGCTACACCAGCGTTTATTTCATTCCATTTGCATGAGACACCTCTTTCTATCCTTTTATTTTTGTCTGTGTGTATCTTTCATTCTGAGGTGGGTCTTTTAATAGACATCATATATGTGGCTTTTGGTTTCTTATCCATTTATTAACCCATATCTTTTAATTGGAGCATTTAAGGCATTTACATTTAAAGTGATTCTTTGTAGTTATGTATTTATTGCCATTTTATTCTGTTAACTATGTTCCTTTGTTTTGTTTCTCCTCCTCCTCCTTCTTCTTGAAACAGGTCTTATAATATTTCTGTAATACTGGTTTGATGGTAACAAACTCCTTTAGCTTTTTCTTATCTGGGAAGCTGTCTATTTCTCCTTCAACTTTAAATGATAACCTTGCTGGGTAAAGTAGTCTTTGTTGTAGGTTGTTCCCTTTCATCACTTTGAATATTTCATGCCAGTCCCTCTGGCCTGAAATGTTTCTGTTGAGAAATCAGCTGACAGTCTTATGGGAGCTCCATTGTAGGTAACTATTTCTCTTGTGGCTTTTACAGTTGTGTTTTGTTTTGTTTTTTTTAACATATGCTAGTGTAATTATAATGTGTCTTATTATGGGAACCTTTGGGTCCATCTTATTTGGGACTCTCTGAGCTTCTGGTTTGTGTGTCTTTTTCCTTCACTAGCTTGGGAAGTTTTCCATTATTCTTCAAATTGGTTTTTGATCCCTAGCTCTCTGTCCTTCTTGTATCCCTATGATGTGGATGTTGTTATGCTTCATGTTATCTCATGGGTCCCTTAAACTATCCGTTTTAATTTTTTTTCTTTTTACCACTTTGATTGGGTGTTTTTCCTACCTTGTCTTCCAAATTGCTGATTCCATCATCATCTTTATCCAACCTACTGTTTATTTCCACTGTATTTTTCTTCTCAGGTATTGTATTCTTTATTTCTGATTGTTCCTTTTTTATGTTTTTATGTCCTTGTTTATGTTGTTGAGCATACTATAACCATGACTTTGAACCCTGTAACTAATAAATTGCTTCCCTCCATTTCATTTAGCAATTTTTTTTGTAAATTCCTTCTATTCTTTCATTTGGGATGTTTCATTTTCTCCCCATTTTAGTTGACTCTTTGTGTTTGTTTCTTTGTGTTAGATCTGCTATGACTCCCGTTCTTGTTGGGGTGGCCTTACATAATAGGTGTCCCACGGGACCCAGTGATCCAGTCTCCTTATTTACCTGTGCTAGGTACTCTAGGAATGTCCCTTGTGTGGGTTATGTGGTCCCTCCTGTTATAACTGCATCTTGATTGATATTGGCAGTTTGTTTAGGTGATCCAAACTTAGGCTGGCTGGCTATGTGGCTCACCCCCCAACCATGGTGTTTGAGCTGCTGTGCAGGTGCTGACCACATGAATCAGAGTTTGCCTCAGCAGGGTTTGCTGCCTGCTGAGATCCCTGGATATGTGGCTTATGAAGCTTATTGGATCTTGCTGTGGTGTTTTCTGAAGCTTGCCATTGGGTGTGTTTGTTGTCGGCCTTTTTGAAGAGACTGTGGTGTAGGGCAATGTAAGTTAACCACCTGTGACTTTGACTGCTGGCTCTTGGTAACCTGTTTGGAGCAACAAGCAAGCCACAGTATGTGCCTTTGCTGGGCCTGGGTGTGCACGGGAAGGACTGACTGTGCACCAAAGCCGGCTTTTACCAGCACCAGGCCTGGGGACTGGTCAGCAAAAGTTTCAAGACACCCCAACAAGGTTCACTTCTGCCTGCTTCCACCTGCTAGCTTCCTGTTAATCTGTCATGAAAGAGTCTCTGGGTATACCCCTTAGTAGGGTAAAAGTTCCACAGTGTGTGACGAGACAGTCCAGAGGGTGAAGTCATTGTTTTCCTTCAGGGTGATTCTGTCGGAGTAGGGTAGCCCACCCAAGAAAAATGGTGTTTGCACTTTGGGAGAATGATTTCAGCACAGGGATCCTGGCAGCTGTCCCTTAAGCTCCCTCCCCAGAGCCTCAAACTCCATAGCCTTATACAACTCTATTTTGCTCGGCGCTCCCTCCACCAGAGCACGGACTGAGTGGCTGATATTTTGTTCATTGGCCTTTTAAGAGAGTACTTATGTGTAACAGACCCCTGCTTCTCCCTGGCAGACAAAAAACCCAGCTGCTTTTCTCAGCCAGGTGTTTTGTGAGATACGTCTCCTGAACTTTAGCCTCCCCACCGCCTGTGGGAGCACGCCAGCCCTTTCGTGTCTCCACTCTTCCTGCCAGTCTTAATGTGGCTTCTTCTATAAATCTTTGGTTATAAGACCTCTTTAGCTAGTCTTCACTTGTTTATTCAGGATTATTGTTCTCTAATTTAAAATGGCAGTTCAGTCTTGGGAGGAGGTGAGGCAACTTCCACCTACTCTGCCAGGATCTTGGATTTCCAGCACTCGTATAGTTCTTTCTTGCGTTTTTTATGAATTAATTAATTTATTTTATTTCCATGCAAAGACACGCACACTGATTGTAGAGAGAGAGGAAGGGAGGTAGAGACAGAGAGAAATATTAAAGTGAGAGAAACAGCCGTCCATTGCCTCTCACATTCGCCCCAACCTGGGACTGAACCACAACCTAGGCATGTGCCTTGACCAGGAGTCAAACCATGATGTTCAGTTGACAAGACAGCACTCCAACAAGCTGAGCCACACTGGCCAGGGCCCATTTCATATTTAATCTCAAATCTCTCTGTTCTTTCATCTAATTTCTAGATTTCTATCTTCAACATCACTGGTTCTTTTCTATACATGGTCAGCTCTATTCCTTGGATTGCCAGTTTATTTTTCATCTCCAGAATTTCTGTTCAGCTATTTTTTTATACTTTTAATCTCTTTGATAAATTACTCCTTTTATTCATTTATTGTATTTCTGAGTTCATTAAACTCAGTTTTCATGTATTGTTGAGTTTTCCTTTTTCTTTTTTTAAACTTTCATCTTTGTCATTTCTGGAGGTTTTTTATTTTTAAGCTACCTTGTTACTTTGGTTATTCATTGTATCTGATTATTTCTATCCCTAGACACTTGTGGGAATAAAGTATGCTTTTTAAAAAAAAATATTTGACCCCTCACTGTTTAGTACATTGATAAATAGAGGCCTTTTCTTTTGAGTAGGTATTGCTGAAGCATAAGCCACAGTTGCTGTTTACCCTCAGCCTCTCAGACTTCATATCAGCCCCCAGCAGACTCTGTAGCAGTGGAAATGTTGATACCAGCACACTCTTCACAGCCCTGAGGACTGGAAGGAAGGGCAGAAATATTTCTCCCTGAGCAACCAGCACACACTGCAATTCAACCCAGTGACAGAGGCTGCTGGGGCTTCTGAGATCTTACCTGAATTACTGGGGCTTCTGGGATATTCTTGGGGGCATTGTTACCTTCCCTGTGTAATATGACATATATTCCTTGGGGAGGTGGGCATCCTTAGTCTGGGCACCATCCCTATTGAGAATTACGGTGAGTAGTGGTTCTCTGGGCCTGTGACATCTATATGCTGCCTCCTGCAAGTAGATACTTCTGGCAGTGTACTGTCTGAGGTTTCCCAGGGCCTCCACCAGGCTCCACTGCAATGGGTGGCAGTTGTGTTGGTGGGTAGGGAATAGTCAGTTCTTGCATTTGTGGCTTTGCTGTCATCCTAGTAATGGTATCTGCCAGAACTCAGTTGCTACATCTCTGCCATTGTCACTGGGTTATATCACAGTATGCTCCTGCCCTTTAGAGAGATCTTTCTGTCCCTCTAGTCCTCAGGGCTGCAGAGAGAGCATTTACTGTAACCCAACACCTCCACTGCTACAGCATCTACTGCTGGCACTGTTAGCTCTGGGAGGGTGAGGGGAGATAGCTGTGCGTCTGTGCTTTTGTTTTCTGTCTGGTAATAGCCACTGGTGGACCACAGCTGACACCCTTTTGTATTTTGTCTCTGCCCCCTTTACAAGGTGTAGCTAGCTGTAGTGTGTGCTGGTTACTCAGGAGGAATATTGATTGTGTTCTGTTCCTTAGAGCTCAGATTATCTGTGCTGTAACCCAACACTTGCCCTGCTACTGAGTCTTCTAGGGCCATAGTGAGCTCTGGACTGGATCTTTGGTACCTGTGCCTGGCCTTCCTTTTTCCCTCTTCCCCCGTTTCCTGTTACACACCCACCTTCAGGTGTTTCAATGCATGGATCTCTCAGATGTATTTCTGTGTTGAGCAGGGAATCCTCTTTTGCATTATTGCTGTCAATTTTGTTGAAATGTAAAGGGAAGAGACGTAGCAGTCCTCATGCTATCATGCTGCTGATGTCCCTCCCATATTTTCACATTTCAAACCTACTTTTAAACATATCAAAAAGTCTTCTTTGAAGTTGTAATTGTCTCATTAAACTTGAATAGACAGTACAAAAACTACTAAAATACCTTTAAGTTATAAGAGGGAAACTTTACATTAAGGAATGCTCAGTGTTCATTTATTTTAAAAAGTACACCATCTATCAACTATACTTCATATAAGAATTTGAGTTTCACTGTGATGAATCAGAAGCCAGCTTGTAATGTATTTGTCTTTTTCTCAAGACAGATTGAAAAGAAAAGTGAATTCCTTTTTATTAGATGCTTTGTATTGGAAGATAGGGGAAATAGAGTAGCATTTTACATAACATGACTGCAGGGTAGGGTAGTTCAAAGACTAGACCTGAGTTCTAGTCCCAGTTTTTCTACTAATTCAAACTCAGTGTTGTTTATCCTGTTTTCCTATTAAAATGAGGTTAGACTAGATAGTTTATGACCTCTTGTGCAGCATGAATACTCTAAGAATATTCAAATATAAGCATCACTCTTGTTCGTAATTATTTGTTCATTATTTTGCTTCTTCTTACAATGCTTTTTGTTTGTTTTTTTTTTTTTCATAGAACAACATAGACGTCTGTCCTGAATGTGGTCGCCTGAAACAGAAACATGTCCTTTGTGGCTGTTGCTATGAGAAGGTGTGCAAAGAGACTGCAGAAATAAGAAGACAGATAGGGAAACAAGAAGGGGGCCCTTTTAAGGCTCCTACCATAGAATCCATGGTGCTGTACACAGGAGAGACACCATCTGAACAAGATCAGGGCAAGAGGATCATTGAACGAGACAGGAAGCGACCATCCTGGTTCACTCAGAATTGACGCCAGAGATGTTTAAACAGTATAACTTAACATAAAACATTTCTCTTGGATAAAAGGAAGATTCTTTGTTTTCAGTGTTTTGTGCCTATTTTAAAATTATCAGTGTGACTTAAAACATTCTTCATAAGCAGTTAGTTTTATGTGGATAATTTGAAGATAGGAATAAAATCTGAAAATGTTTATGCAGAAGTTCAGTGGATTTACATGTCTGTTTTTATTATAAGATTTTAAGTATACATTAAATTTCCAGGACAAAGCAATAAAATAATTTAAAAATCATACCAAGAGATATGTGTTTGGCCCTGGTTTTGTTTGTTTGCCAGTGGTTTTTCTTACAACAGAATACTTACACATAGACTTTTAAGTAACATCTAGAAATAGGTTATTATTTTAATTGTGGATACTTTTTAAGTTTGCAATTCTAGCAGTAAGAAAAGGTTTGAGTTTTTAATTTTAAATTAAAATTGCCTTTGGAACTTATATGAGACATACTATGTTAACTTACTTGGATAAAAATATTGACATTTTACATTAAGTCAGAATGACATTTGAAATTCATTAAACAGCTCTTGAGATTTATAATGTATTGCTTTGGGAGAGAGACTTTTAAAGGAGATGTGAGTGAATTCAGTAGTGCACAGAAAATGTGCCAAGGATGTTGCCTTTGCATTTTCCTTTTAGTTTATTTTGTTTTATCATTTTTTGTCTCTTTATAGCAGTGGCCTTTTTAACTTAAAGCAAATGATTTAATATTTGTCTCGCCCTATTTCTACCCTGAGCCCAAGGTTTGATATTTTGTTTCCTGTCTTATTCAAAAATAAATAAAAGGTAGCTTATTAAAACACACAGAGATAAGTAAGATATTATGTTTGAATGGAAAATCAGGGGACAAGATCAAGTCCAGAGACATATTTAAAACAATGCGTACTACAATAGCCTGAATAACTATTATAATTGGACAGCAAATTCAACATTGAACTTTTCTTTGGAAAGTATTTACATGAATAAGTTTTCTACAAGGTAAGACACAATCCAAAAGTGCACCTCTGTTTTGGTACTCGGGCCTAACAGACCATTCTCCCAAGGTGCTTTATAATAAGGATTATGTAAAGGGGTAATCCATATTATTCCTAGAAGTTAAATGACCAGTTTCATAAGGTACAGTAAGTCCAATAATGTGTTGAAATGCAATTCAGTCAAAGCAAATTCTTAAAACTAACAAAGTATTGGAATATCAGTATATAACTCTTTTAACGTTTGGATTGATCTGAGCATTAAAATTGAGTTCCTGGAGGAATTATTTGAATAGACTTATTTACTAAGGCACTACTCTGCATATAATTATTTCTTATTCTCTGACAAGCCTTAAAAATGAATAATTGTTTCTTAGTCTCTTAGTCTCTGACAAGCCTTAAAAATGTTGTGTTGCATTTAAGGTAGATAGTATACTCGAGGTAAAAAACAATTCAAGAAAGCTGTTCTAACCAGGTACATACCTGAATCTATTTCACTGCCTACTCAGCATCTCAGGTGACTGTACCTGGTTGCAAAATATACACCTACATTTGCCACCTTTGTATTTTGAATAGCCGTAGGCTGCATATGTAGGTAGACCTAATGAGAATGTGCAGGCAGAGAATACAACTAATAAGAATAAAACTTTTGTTTGCTATTCATGGACAGATAAATGTTATAAAGTGTGTCCCCAAATAGCAAAACCAGATGTCTAGTTCATGTCAGAAAGCTATCATAAAGGGGAATACTTAGCACTCTTAGCACTTTCTTTGAAGAGGCTGTCCCCTCAAAGTTATTTTTATAATTAATTAAGTCATTTATACCACTGATTTGTATACATTCTGAACATTAGAAGTGAACTTGATCTTAACTCCTACATATCAATATGTTGAGATACTAGGCACTTTTGAAGAATAGTATTTGTTTTTCCCCTTAACCAGTTTTTGGTAGATCACCAGCTTCTAAAAATCTGTCGTGTCTGACTTGAATCCACCTCCCTCATCCTAACCCTCATCTCTTTCCTGAGATGTTAAAGTGTACTTTTCAAGTATTTCCCAGTCTCATATTTCCAATTGATTTTATGTAATAGTTTCTTTTGTTATTTATAAGGTTACTGAAGCAATACATAGAGAGTATCAGCAAAAAAGTTAATCATTTTTTTATAACCATACCTACCACATTCCATCATGTATATGCTTCCAAAGTGCCACACTACTACACTGTTTGTGATTATGTAACTCACTCCCTGATCAAAACCAGGGTCCAAATTAAACCTCTTGTGTCCTCATAATCTGTTCAAGTCTTTATGCCCACCTCCTAATACTGTGTGTAGTATATATACAACCCTTAGGCTGTTGAAATAACCAGATGTAGCAGAGATTGTTGAGCACCTCAGAATGCATCACTCCTCTCCCACTGTCTTTACTAGGCTTTGAAACAGAGAGGTCAGGCCAAATCACCTAGAGAAGGCAGGGGGAAGGGAGAAAAACTCCAAGGTAGAATTGAAGATTAAAAGGGGCTTGCCCTCCCCATGGGAAGGGCCACTAGAAGAAGACTGTTGCCCAGGCAGACAAGCAGCTCTTAACTCAAGAGAAGGGAGCTTGTACATAGCATACATGGTTCAAGACTGCCCCCTTACCTCAGCATGTCACCAGAAGAGGGGCAAAGGTAAAGATAGCTGATGCTGGCCCTCGTTGGTTGAAAAGATGGATACTTGCACTGGCTTCCAGTGCATGTGGGATTTTGAGAGAGAACTTTAAAAGCAAAGGGAGGCAGAAGTTCCTCTTGCTTTTGCCCCTCACAGCTGGGAGCAGCAGATGCCGGGACTGCTCAGGTTTTAGGCCTTGCATGGTTGGAAGCCAGCTGTGGGAGGCAAGGTTTCACACTGGTGTGTGTGCCTCACTGGATGCCAGCCAGCCCTTGGGACACTACAGCACTGTGTAGCACAGTCCATGGGTCCTGGATTGCTTCCATTCACCCAGAGAGGAACATATGGAGACTAAGCATTTCACAAATGAGATAGCTGCTGAGAGGCAATGGTGACTCTCCCCGCAGAGAGAGAGTGGGGGGCTTGAGCTGGAGAGAGGGAGACCCGTTTGAGTAACAACCTTGGGTTACAGATAAGCAATAATGGGGAACTTCTGAACACGTATTTGGTCTTTAATCTTCCTGGGTGTGGCTGGTTTTCTGTATTTTACAGAAGTCTGCTCAGTCAGCCCAACAGGAATACTCTAAGACCCCTCATATTGGGAACCCTGTTAGTAAAATCTTATTCCCTTCACAAATCTTCATGTAAGGTATATACATGGAGACAAGTATCTGGACGCTATGCTTCACTGTGTGTGTTCTGTGGCAGATCCTGGCCCACAGGATCTGTGTATGTTGTGGCTGCTAGAGAACAAATACATATGGACTACAGAAGTCTGTGTAGATAAAGGGACGGTATGGCCAGTCTCTGAGAAAGAGAGGTCAAGAGGGCCAGAGGCTCCAGTCCCTGCCTGGACAGGCTTTTATTGCTTTTCTGGGTACATTACATGGAGAGTAGTCCTCATTTACTATGCACAGGTTTACTGCAGGGGATTACCTTTTACAGATAACAAAGGAAAGAATGTTGCTAATTCCTTCAAAGAGAAGGATGTTGCAGACCAAGGGGAAAAGTGGTCGAACCTGTCACACTCCATACTTCGGAGGTTTAGCTCAGATTTTAGGAATTTGCAGTAAGTCCTTGTTGCCTCAATTCAGGGTGAGGGATTTTTAGCAAAAGCCAGTCTCATAGTAGTCTAGGTACAATGCAGGCCTGATTCCCCACAGGAAAACCTCTCTGTGGGCGTGGTCCTGCATGCCACGTGCTCCCCACTGGTTTCCCATGTAAGTGCTGAGCTACATTTCCATGCCACGCAAAGCGGTTCCCTACATTCTACCTCAGTGGGTCTTCTTTTCAGACTCTCTTGCTAATTCCTTCTCCTCTCCCAAACCCTTAACTTTCTAGTGCCCAACTCTTCATCCCTGGTGGTTTTAGCCAGTCTTACTATAACTGGAAAAGACACCACCATTCCGGCTGCCTGTCTCTACCAAACCCAATAAACAATGACAGTAATTGAATCTTTTATGGGCACTTTATTCAGATGGCTGCTGATCTGAGAAGATGGTGGGTTCATACCTTAACAGTCCATCTTGTCTTTTCTTTCCAGGCCAGACCTTTTATAAGAGGGTGGGAGGGAGATAAACAAGGTACAATGAGGGCTTTGAGAATCAAAAGCTGCAACATTCCTGTCCTGGGCAGTTAGCTGTTCCCAGCAGAGGGTGGTCGTCTGCTCCTCCTAGAATACAAAGGTCCAGATGCCTCCAACTTGTCCCCAGGTGGTAATCTTTAGCAGTGCCCCAGGCTGTCTTCCCAGGAGCCAAGATGGGCCTTATCTGTAGTTTTTGAAACAAAAGCTTTACTATACACATTACTTGCTAGACTTATAACTTTTACCTTAAGCTAAAATTGTCCAAGTCTTGAGTCCCCTATTATTATGGCTTTAAGATAGCAACTGCATGTTGAGGACTTCCAACTTGGTATTTCTGATAGGGGCCTCTTCCCCTGAACTCCAAAGTCATATTCAACTGCCTGCTTGGAATCTCCAGTCAAATGTCTGACAGATAATTCATTAATCTCAGAATCTCCAAGTCAGAATCTCATCTCCAAGCCCTACTGTTTCCCCACTCGTCAGTTCTCTCTATTGCAGTTTATTGCAATTCCGTTCTCATTGCTCAATCCTAAAACCTGCCTTGAACAAATTCACCCTGATCAGAGCCCCCAAAATCTTGTCTAGAATACCAAAATACTCCACTAACTGGTCTCCCTGCTTAGTCTCCTATAGTCTATTCCCAGGACAGTACAGAGAATTTTTTTAAGTCAGGTCATTCTGTCTCCTCTCTTCAAACACCATTTTTTCCCATTTTTTTCCTTTTAAATACATTTTAATGACTATGCTATTACAGTTGTCCCAATTTTTCCTTTTTGTCACCCTACCCTCTACCCCTATTCCCTCCAGAAATCTCTCCCCTCCTAGTTCATGTCCATGGGTCACACATATGTTGACTACTCCATTACCTATACTGTTCTTAACATCCTGTATTTTGTACCCACAAATGTGTGCTTCTTTTTAAAAATATTTTATTTATTTTTGGGGGGGGGAGAAGAAAGAAAAACATCAATGTGTGGTTGCCTCTAGTGCACCCCCTAGTGGGGACCTGGTCCGAAAACCAGCCATATGACCTGACTGGGAA